CTGTCTGTCTAGCTGTCTGTAAACTTTTCACATTTTCGACTTCTTCTCAAGAACCACTGGGCCATTTCAACCAAACTTGCCACAAAGCATCCTTGGGTGAAGGGGATTCAAGTTTTTTCAAATGAAGGGCCATGCCCTCATTCAAGGGGAGATAATTGGGAATTAATGAAAATTTGGTGGCATGTTTTAAAAATCTTCTTCTCAAGAACCACTATGCCAGGAAAGATGAAACTTATGGGTTAACATCCTCAGGTAGTGAATATTCAAATGTGTTCAAATCATGACCCCCGGGGGTAGGGCAGGGCCAAAATGGCCGACTAAAGTTTTATATAGAAATATATTGGAAAATTCTTTAAAAATCTTCTTCTCAAGAACCACTGTGCCAGGAAAGATGAAACTTATGGAGTAACATCCTCAGATAGTGTAGATTCAAGTTTGTTCAAATCATGACCCCCGGGGGTAGGGCAGGGCCAAAATGGCTGATCAAAGTTTTACATAGAAATATATAGGAAAATTCTTTAAAAATCTTCTTCTCAAGAATGACAAAGCCATAATTCATCAAATTTATATGGAAGCATCCTCAGGTAGTGAAGATTCAAGTTTGTTCAAATCATGACCCTGGGGGTAGGGCGGGGCCAAAAAGGCCGACCAAAGTTTTACATAGAAATTTATGGGAAAATTCTTTAAAAATCTTCTTCTCAAGAATGACAAATCCATAATTCATCATATTTATATGGAAGCATCTTCAGGTAGTGTAGATTCAAAAATTTGTACAAATCATGACCCCAGGGGGTAGGGCGGGGCCAAAATGGCCGACCAAAGTTTTACATAGAAATATATGGAAAATTCTTTGAAGAAAAGCAAATCCATGATTGATCATGGGATTACTTTTGGATTTTAACTTTTCAATTATAAACCAATTTCTACTTTTTCTTAGCTTCAGTACTCAGGTGAGCGATGTGGCCCATGGGCCTCTTGTTTAATGTACCATTAGTAATACACATCTGGCGGGACATTCATGTCCTATAGACATATTTCTAGTTTTTCAAATCATCACCTCAGGCTAGGGTCAGGCCACAATTAGGGATCAAAGTTTTATTTAGGAATAAAAGGAAACACATCTTTAAAGTTCTTCTTTTCAGGAACACCAAGAGCATGATTAATATGGAAATATTCTCAAGAGGTGTAGATTCAAGTTTGTACAAATCATGACCACCAGGGTTAGGGAGGTGCCATATTATTCCAGCCCCTTTTTGCCATCCATATGAAAATTCAAATTTTGAAACCATTTTACACATACACAAAACAAACCAATCATTTTCTAAATGATCATGGTTTAAAGCTATTGCAGCATAAGATATTAGGGAAGTTCTTGAAAGCAGGGTGATTAAACATGTCAAATATATGTAAAAAAAAAATATATAAAAATTCTACCTCGATTTGATCCCCATCCCCCCACCCCCCGGGCAAAATGAAAATTCCGAAACCTTACTGCACATCTACATGACACCACCAACCATCTCTTAAAATATGATAAGGCTGCTGAGTAAAATGTAGAAGGAGTTCAGGGAAGAAGGGGCTTTTTGTATAAAAAAAACGTCATTTTTCGACCCCCATTTGATCCCCCGGGGCAAAATCAAAATTCCGAAACCTTACTGCACATCTACATGACACCACCAACCATCTCTCAAAAGATGATTAGGCTGCTGAGTAAAATATAGAAGGAGTTCAGAGAAGAAGGGGCTTTTTGTATAAAAAACGTCATTTTTCGACCCCCATTTGATCCCCTGGGGCAAAATCAAAATTCCGAAACCTTACTGCACATCTACATGACACCACCAACCATCTCTCAAAAGATGATTAGGCTGCTGAGTAAAATGTAGAAGGAGTTCAGGGAAGAAGGGGCTTTTTGTATAAAAAACATCATTTTTCGACCCCCATTTGATCCCCTGGGGCAAAATCAAAATTCCGAAACCTTACTGCACATCTACATGACACCACCAACCATCTCTCAAAAGATGATTAGGCTGCTGAGTAAAATGTAGAAGGAGTTCAGGGAAGAAGGGGCTTTTTGTATAAAAAACGTCATTTTTCGACCCCCATTTGATCCCCCGGGGCAAAATCAAAATTCCGAAACCTTACTGCACATCTACATGACACCACCAACCATCTCTCAAAAGATGATTAGGCTGCTGAGTAAAATGTAGAAGGAGTTCAGGGAAGAAGGGGCTTTTTGTATAAAAAACGTCATTTTTCGACCCCCATTTGATCCCCCGGGGCAAAATCAAAATTCCGAAACCTTACTGCACATCTACATGACACCCCAACCATCTCCCAAAGGATGATTAAGCTACTGTGAAAAATGTAGAAGGAGTTCAGGGAAGAAGGGGCTTTTTGTATAAAAAACGTCATTTTTCGACCCCCATTTGATCCCCCGGGGCAAAATCAAAATTCCGAAACCTTACTGCACATCTACATGACACCCCCAACCATCTCCCAAAGGATGATTAAGCTACTGTGAAAAATGTAGGAGGAGTTCAGGGAAGAAAAGTGTGACAGACGGACGGACGGACGGACGGACGGACGGACGGACGGACATGAGTAACAACAATATACCCGAACTTTCTTTCGAAAGTGCGGGTTTATGCAGCAATATACTTTAATCACCTACAAACGGAGTTTATATATCTCAGTGATTCGATACGCAAGAGCATGCTCTACGTATTATTAATTTTTAAAACAAGGTACATTATTAACAAACAAGTTGATGAAATAAGAAGATCAGCAGTCTCGTTTTAAGTCATCATTTCGTAAGTTCTATGGTCGATACAATGACCTTGTCGACAAATACAATTTATCATTCATTCAGTCAAATGCTGACTGGCGTTTTTCATATTAATTGTTAGTACATTATTTATACACTTATCTGTCGACGGCTTTTTCCGTTATTTCCCGATCATGGCAGGGAGAACACGGCAGTGTGACCAGTCGGCAGGGGAAGTCCAAATATAGACTTTCCTTAACCTTTTCCTTAACCATTTTAACTTTTCAATGGGAACGAGTGTAGTTTGAATTATATAGAGGTAGCGAATAGTATTCAAGATCAAAAGTACATATAGCAGTACAAAATAGGAGCAAAGCAAATATGGACCTCCAAAACATCAGAAGTGGGATCAGGTACCATGGAGAAGTGAGCATACCCTGCCGACAGGTCACACCCGCAGTATGCTCCTTGTCATGATCGGGAAACAACGGAAAAATCCTTCGTCAACTCAGTGTATAAATAATACATGAACAATTAGTATGAAAAACACAAGTCAGCATTTGACTCAACGATAAATTTTACTGAACAGGTCATTGAATCGATCATAAAACTTACGAAATGATGACTTTAAACGAGACTGCTGGTGTTCTTATTTCATCAACTTATTTTTTAATTGTTTACCTCGTTTAAGAAAATGTTCATACGTAGAGCATGCTCTTGCGTATCCAACCAACTGAGATATATATACTCCGTATGCAGGGGATGAATGTACGAGGGCCATTCGAAAAATAAGTCTACTAGACAATGCTTCCCATCGTTATATTATTATCACGTTTTCGTAAATAAAACATTTATTCTGTCGAATTGTGAAATTTTATACCATTTGAGTAATTAGAACTCACGTTAGCAAATTTTCAAATCAATATGATTTGAAACCTCGGAGCACGGTTAACCAACATTGTAAAGTCAAATAAAACGTCAATATAGTTTCTCAAAATTACTCTGCCTTTTAATTTCATACACAGTTTGTAGCGTATTCTCCATTCGTAAAAAAAACAAAACAAAAAAACGTTCCAAGGCGTTCCTAACCCTTTTCACAAAATTTTTAACTATGACCTGTTTCTTTGCAGACCATATATCTTCCGATTCCAAATCTTAATTACTCAAAATATTGCGTTTTCCATTTTATACCAAACCGTTGCTTATTTTTCAAATATTTCCTGGTTTATGTAAAATTTCAAAGTTTGTAGTAGAGGTTTCTCAAATGCAAAACTAAATTTTATTTCTCCGTGACGTCTTCCAACGTGATGGTTTTTGCCTTTTTTATACACAAAGAAAGATGCTTGGTTGAACATTTACTGGAACCCACTATGTATCTTTGTAAGGATTCTTATGAAGTATTGAAATCCAATATATACATGGTAGTTGAAGTTCATTTTGGTTCTTTTGGATATTAGTATTAAAAGTATTCAAAACTGACATATAATTTTGAGACAATATCTTCCAACAATCTGTTAGAATCCCCACTGGTACTAATTGCACCCTGTTATTAGGAGACTTAATCACTTATGTTTTATTCATATGAAGCTGAATTTATTAAAAACATTTAATAGAGAAAAAGAGAACCCTTGCTATGGCTTTCAAATCGACATTTAGCTAAACCGACGACGTACTTTCAATTAACAAATTGAATGTAATTTCCATTCATAATGTCGACATGGTATATTCCAGAAGGCGTCTTCATATGAGTAAAGATTCCAATGAGCTTGAAATTGATGATATCAGAGTCCGATACATGTGTTTCAATTTTAGATTTTACAAGAGAAAGACGTTAATGGTAACATAACAACAAAAATTTGATAAACCTGACGACTTTTCAATCGTCAACCTCCCTTACTTATGCAGCAATATACTTTCATCACCTGCATACGGAGTTTATATCTCTTAGTTGATTCGATATGCAAGAACATGCTCTACGAAGGAACAATTTTTAAAACGAGGTGGTTGGTGACAAAACAATATATCATTAAGTCAAATACCGAATGACTCGCGCATACTAGTGTTTCTTAAGAGAAAAAAGAGTGAAAGCCACAAGTTGTAAAGTTTTGTCTCGCTAAGAAAAAGTGGAGAATAAACTCGTGAAAATATGATGTCGCTAAAATTAAGTGATTTACATTTTTTTTTTCATCAAAGAAGATATCTTACACAATCAATACTGTTTGTATTTAACTTTCAGCAACCAAAAAAGATTTGGAGAGTTTTAAGAAAAAGTATAATGAAGCTAGCGAGAAAGTTGTAGAGAAAAATCGACAATATCAAAAATTACAGGTAAAATGATTTCAAGAGGCTTATTCTTGCCTTGTTTTAGGATTTTCTTTTCTTTACACTTAATTTACTTCATCTTCCTGCGTTCTTAAAACTAAATCTGTTCTCTTAATTTCCATATTGTTTACAATTTCTGGTTTCTAGCTCCACTGCAGAAGTTTCTGTTCCGATTTTTTCATAGGCATTTTACGAAAATAAATCTGTTGAATTGTAGATTAGATTGAATTGAAACAGCTGCATTCCTTAATGTTACATCGATGCAATTTTTGTTACTGAGATGAGTGATGTTTTGAGCTGACTACTATAATTTTGCTTTCAGTCATTGTTTGATGCCTTAAAAAGAAAGTGCATAACTCCATCCACTTTTGAAGGTGGTGATGCTGTAAGCAGTGGCAAGGCCTGGAATCCTCTTGCTAACTTCACAATGCCAATCGGCTCAGATCAAGGCAGGTGTCCAGTTAATATACCATTATTGAAAAAAATGTATATTTACTTAAATTTTTTTCTATATTAAAAACACTTCTCTTTTTCTCAGGCATTAGTGCAAGTACTTCTTTAGGTAGCATTTCAAACAGTAAGAGAAACTCTCCAGAAACTGGTCGTGGTAAGTGCATGTCAATATTTATTTGGAAGGATACTGATATTTGAATATTATTCAAAATAGATTTATTTGTGAATTTTGCAATGTTTTTTGCCTTTCAACAGAAGTGCCCTTTACATTCCGGATAACAGATACTCCAATCTTCAAACAAAATGGAAACCATCAACAGAATAAGAAAAGTAGGGAGCAGCAGAGGCAGAACAGAAATCCGTTGGATCTAGACTTCCCTTCTCACTGACCCATTGTATATTGGTAACACCTGTCTGCATGACATGAAGAATGCAAAGTACTGAATTTTACAGAAATAAATCTCATCTTGTTTTAAAAATGATTTTTTTCTTTTGAAAAAAATTCAGCAGTTGATTGCTCTGCTATAATCCCGTTCTCTTCACATAATGGAGCATGAAACATTGTCAGACATTAAACAAATTGTCTTTTCTCAATGATATTTTATTTTTTGCATTTGATAAGCTTTACTTATCTTCAAGAAAGAAAAAGCTTGGAAATTTAATTTGAACAAATCGTTTGACAAGCACTCATTTAAAAACACCACTTTCTAAAAACAATCATTCCTCTAGAGATTTTGTGTCTGTCCTATACTGCATTTTTAAGCTCTTTAAGTAAGATTTCAAGTCCTCTTTGTTGAGTTTCGAGTTTCGTGACAACTGAACCAATCGTCCAGAGAGTTTAAAAATGATTCTCTTTTCCTTCGTTTCCTTGTCAACTTCAGGTTGTCTCTGGAAAAATATGAGAGAGAAAGAAACTTGTATTTATATATTACTCAGCAAAGTACTACATGTACTTGGTTTAATTAAAATATATTCAGTATGCACTTAAAAATAAGAATCTAGTCTAAGCTGAGGGGTTGGGGGCATGAGGGCAAGAATTTTTTAAAAAAAATATGTAAAACATACCCCCTTTTTAGAAGAAATTGAAGAAGCCAAACTTTTAGCTTTCTGAATCACATCCCTTGGAAGAGTTGATAGTTCTGCTACTTGATACCTACAAGCATAACAGTTATGTGGTTTAAATTTTATCAATATTAGCATTTAAAACAATTTACAAGTGTCAGGATTTCAATCAAGCATTCAAAACATAATAAAATTAACAAAAAACAATTGCTGATTTGATTTTCTGATATTTTGACTTTGAAACTAAGCACTGCTTTTTAGTACCATAATGCTCCTCTTTGTCTGTCCCTTTGTCAATACATGAGTGTACACCACTTTCTCATTTTATTTTCCTCATTAAATGTTTTGCTAATCATAAAACAGTAGCTGAAAAAATATATATATATTTCTAGCTAGCTGCTATTTGTTTTATTATAAAAAAGTTTCTCATATAATTATACTAAGGTATATACTTTGATGTTATAGACTATTTTCACATAGTTCCAGACTTTAGCTCTACTGGTTAATAGTAATACTTATAACAAATGAAAAAGAAAAGTAGCAGTTGGGACTTGAAACTTTAAAACAGCAATAAATAGAATAATGATACTTAATTAAGTCACTTTTTTGTGACAATATTGCAACAAGTCCACAACTGTAAGACTAGCTTTCAATAATTTTTTTTAAAAATTTCAATTTTAGTTACAGGGCAACATCATTCATCAAAATAAATATAATAAAAAAACGATAAAGACAATAATGTATCTTAGTGTGGTGTATCTGCATACCACATTATGTCATAATCAAACTAAAACTGTATCTAAAGTAATAGCATTTTAAAATTATTTTACAAAAATTTCTATTTCTAGTAACCAAGGCAACACCGTTCATCAAAATAAACAAGAGGCCCATGGGCCACATCGCTCACCTGAGCACTGTGGCTAGGAAAAAGTAGCAATTGGTTTATTATTGAAAAATTTAAATCCAAAAATAGTCCCATGACCAATCATGGCTTTGCTATTCTTGAGAAGATGATTTTTAAAGAATTTTCCCATATATTTCTATGTAAAACTGTGGTCGGCTGATTTGGCTTCGCACTACCCCCTGGGTGCTATGATTTGAACAAACTTGAATCTACACTACCTGAGGATACTTCCATATATATATGATCAATTATGGCTTTGCTATTATTGAGAAGAAGATTTTTAAAAGAATCTTCCTATATATTTCTATGTAAAATTGTGGTCTGCCATTGTGGTCTCCCCTACCCCCGGGGGTTATGATTTGAACAAACTTGAATCTACACTACCTGAGGATGCTTCTATATAAATATGATCAGTTATGGCTTTGCTATTCTTGAGAAGAAGATTTTTAAAGAATTTTCCTGTATATTTTTATGTAAAACTGTGGTCGGCCATTGTGGCCCCGCCCTACCCCGGGGGGTCATGATTTGAAAACAAACTTGAATCTACACTACCTGAGGATGCTTCCATATAAGTATGAACAATTGTGGCTTTGCAATTTTTGATAAGAAGATTTTTAAAGAATTTTCCTATATATTTCTATGTAAAACTGTGGTCGGCCATTTTTGGCCCCGCCCTACCCCCCGGGTCATGATTTGAACAAACTCTGAATCTACACTACCTGAGGATGCTTCCATATAAATATGATCAATTATGGCTTTGCTGTTCTTGAGAAGAAGATTTTTTAAGAATTTTCCTATATATTTTCTATGTAAAACTTTGGTCGGCCATTTTGTCCCCGCCCTACCCCCGGGGTCATGATTTGAACAAACTTGAATCTACACTACCTGAGGATGTTTCTCCGTAGGTTTCATCTTTCCTGGCACAGTGGTTCTTGAGAAGAAGATTTTTAAAACATACAACCAAATTTTCATTAATTCCCAATCATCTCCCCTTGAATAAGGGCGTGGCCCTTCATTTGAACAAACTTAAATCCCCTTCACCCAAGGATGCTTTGTGGCAAGTTTGGTTGAAATTGGCTTAGTGGTTCTTGAGAAGAAGTCGAAAATGTGAAAAGTTTACAGACGGACAGACAGCTAGACAGACAGACGGACGACGGACAAAATGTGATCAGAAAAGCTCACTAGAGCTTTCAGCTCAGGTGAGCTAAAAACGGATATATAGAATTATGTATCTTAGTGTAGTCTACTTGTGAGCCAAGTCATATTGAAATCAGATCAAACTTGTGGGAGAAGAAGCATTTTGAAAGCATTTCACAGAAATTTCTATTTTTAGTAACCAAGGCAACACCGTTCATTGAAATCAATAACTTATGCACAGAATTATGTATCTTAGTGTAGTCTACTTGTGTGCTAAGTTATATTAAAATCAAACCAAAACTGTAGGAGAAGGAGCATTTTGAAAGCATTTCACAAAAATATCTATTTTTAGTCACCACGGCAACATCGTTCATCGAAATCAAAAACCGATGCACAGAAGTAATTCTTATCTTATCTTATTATGTATCTTAGTATAGTCTACTTGTGAGCCAAGTCAAATTGAAATCAGATCAAAACTGTAGGAGAAGTAGCATTTTGAAAAATTGTTTACAGACAGACAGACAGCTAGACGGACGGACGATGGAGGCATTACTATCACATAAGCTCTTCTGGGCTCTGACCAGTAGAGCTAGAAACTACAAGTTGATTTATATTTGGTAAAACATTGGAAAAATCATTTCACTTTGATTTTTTAAATAACCTATGAAAACAATGTCTAACTTTCAGAAATTTCATTTTCATTCCGTTTTTTTAAAAAAATCAAAATATTGAAGAAACAGTTACACTTTAGCCCACCTGAGCCAAAGGCTCAAGTGAGCTTTTCTGATCAAAATTTGTCGTCGTCGTTGTAAACTTTTCACATTTTCATCTTCTTCTCAAGAACCACTGGGCCAATTTCAACCAAACTTGCTACGAAGTAGCCTTGGGTAAAGGGGATTCAAGTTTGTTCAAATGAAAGGCCACGCCCTTTTCCAAGGGGAGACAATTATGAATTAGAGAAAAATTAATGGCATTTTTAAAAAATCTTCTTCTCAAGAACCACTGGGCCAGGAAAGATGAAACTCATGTGGAATCATCCTCAGGTAATGTAGATTCAAGTTTGTTCAAATCATGACCCCTGGGCTAGGGTGGGGCCAAAATGGCCAATCAAAGTTTTACATAGGAATATATAGGAAAAATCTTTAAAAATCTTCTTCTCAAGAACCACTGGGCCAGGAAAGATGAAACTCATGTGGAATCATCCTCAGGTAATGGAGATTCAAGTTTGTTTGAAAAATCATGACCCTCAGGGCTAGGGTGGGGCCAAAATGGCTGATCAAAGTTTTACATAGGAATATATAGAAAAAAATCTTAAAATCTTCTTCTCAAGAACCATTGAGACAGGAAAGATTAAACTCATGTGAAACTAGTGCTAATTGTAACGGGACCGTTAACATGTTCCCCAAATGCTCCCCAACTTCCTTTTGGTGCCATATTCCCTGTAGTCTCTATTAAATAAGAAATACTTTATGGAATTTAGACTTAATCAAGGTCTTCCCAGAAAAATACAAAATATATTTAAAAATAGCCATTGCACGCGTGTTCATGTGCGTAACGACCATATTATCTTGACTACACCATCTAAAATTTTAATATACTTAATATCAAAGCATTTAATCCAAAAGTATTAAAAAATACACTCATTTGAGTGTATTTTTAATTTAAGTCATTTCACGTGCACGCACACATGCATAATGACTACACCTTCTTGTAGCAGTCCCTTATATTTATCTATGTTCTAAATCCCATCCTGTTTGGTGGAAAAACAAAGGAGTTATAGCCATTTGAAGTTTCAGCCAATCAGATTGCAGCACACATGCATGCGCGTGATTTCATAAATTTTTATCTCTATCGCATTGAAGGATATCTAAATGAATGACTATATTTTAAAATTCCAAACATTTCGTCAAGAAACAAAGGAGATATAGCCATATAAAGTTTCAGCCAATCAGATTGCAGCACACGTGCATGCGCGTGATTTCATGATTTTTTTTTCTTTATCATATTTTAGGATATCCTAATGCATGACTATGTTTTAAATTTCAAAGCATTTCGTCAAAATACAAAGGAGATATAGCCATTTAAAGTTTCAGCCAATCAGATGGCAGCACGCACGCATGCGCATGCTTTCATGAAAATTTTTATATATCATGCTGTAGATCTTTATAATGCAGGACGATGTGCAAAATTTCAAAAGATTATGACAAGAAACAAGAAAGATATTGAGACTTTAGTTTCAGCCAATCAGAGCGAAGCGCACGTGCATGCGCGTGAGATCTTGCTATTTTGACCATGCCATCTTGTCAATACTACTAATGTCTACTTACATTATGAGTTTCAAAAAAATTCATCCAAAAAAGAAAAGTTACAGCAATATCCATTATATTGGTCATTTCATGTGTTGCACGTGCGCGCTCTTGCAAGCACGTGCGCGCAAAATGACCTTCGTTCGGCAAATCTGCATAACATGTCTACTGACCCTAAAAACATATTACCTTAGTCGGATGTGTAGTTTACAAGATCATTCGTGGACAAAATTTTCCCAGGAAGAAGAAAAATAATAATAATAACTAGATGCGTTCTTGTTGCTAGGGCAACAAGCAAGGTCTTCCGCCCTACTTTTCGTTAGAAATCTCTGCTCCATCAGGCCATGAAATAAATTTCAGAATGTATTTTTATCGTTTACTTTCATTGACAGCAGTCTCTCAACATAGATCGTGATTTTTACAGTTATTCCACAAAATATCTCAAGATATGGCTTTTAAAAATCGAGAAATCTCCAATACATTATAAAAAATAAAGAAAGTCTTTGCAACTGAAAAAAAGACAGAAACAAAGAAAAAATTTTTGCAACGCCCACAGCGGGATTGAACCCCGACAGTGCGACAAAGTTTGGATCGGTCATATCTTTGCAACAAATGCACGCATGAAAATGTTGAAAACATATTTAGAGTTCTTGAAAGATACTCTATCAACCCTGTGATTTCCAAAGAAAAATAGTGAAAAACAAAAAAGTTGAAAAATTAGACTTTTAGAATTCACTTCCGTTTGCGACCGGAAGTCAGAACGACGAGAAATGAAGGTCGATCAACACATCTACATTCGATGTCCTATCACGTCCTTAAGTTTCAATTTTATATCTTTTACTGTTCTTGAGAATTTTTTGCGACAAAATTCCATCTAAAAAATACAAATTTCCCCCCAAAACGCGAACGGAAGTGAATTTCAAAAAAATAAAAAACACGTCTGGAGATATTTATATGATGCATCATACCAGTAAAAATCTTTGACATCCGTCCACGCACAGCTGACATATCGCCCTAACTATGAAAAAAGAAAAATAATAATAATAATAATAATAAAAAACAGACGAATAACAATAAGGTCTTCCGAAGGAAGTCGGAAGACCTTAATAATAAGAAACAGAGTAAACACAATATGTTCCCCAACTTCGTTTGGGGAACATAATTAACCTCAGGTAGTGTAGATTCAAGTTTGTCCAAATCATGACCCCCAGGGGTAGGGTGGGGCCAAAAAAAGGCCGATCAAAGTTTAACATAGGTATATATAGCGAAACCTTTTAAAATCCTCTTTTCATGTACTTCAAATCCATGCTTAATGATATTTATATGGAATCATTCTCAGGTAGTGTAGATTCTAGTTTGTTCAAACCATGACCCCCTGGGAGGTTAAAATTAAAGCCCCCCCCCCCCACCCCCAACTCAGTAAACTTTCAGTTCTGATCTGATATGTGCTTTTTCCTAGCAAATTGCTCAGGTGAGCGCTGTGGCCCCTGGGCCTCTTGTTTATCTCAAGCAATGATTCCTTAAATATCAATAATCAAAAAAATAAAGCGTAGTATTTAGGTGAAATACAGTAATAAATTTCAACTTTAATTTCAACTACAATTTGAATTTCAAACTTACTTTTGTACATTAGGATACAAACTTTCCAGTTGACCAAGATCCTTGAAATGTGTTGCAAAGAAGACAAAGGCCTGATTGGTAGAGAAAAAGGAGCATTTTAAAATCATACGCACATGGTATTAATAAGCATGTAGCGAGTCAAGAATGCTGACAAACTTACATAACATGGATCATTCTCCCTATATATTATTTTTTTTAGTTTGTACTATTAACTCAAAACTGAAGTAAACTGAGCAGTGCACTCTAATTAAAAACATCACCCATGAAAATATTTGGAATTCATGACACAATTGACTACTCTCCCTTATTCATATTAATAAAGTATGAAGAAATAAAAAATACTAGTATTCATTTTTAACTCAGACAACTGCAAGATTGTAAATAAATATTAAGAAAAAAATTGTATGAGGATAGAAAATCTGCACATCTGAAGAGCAAGGTCATTGGCAGGTCAAGAACTCATGACTAACTTGGTCCCCAGCCCTTGAGCCTCAACTCTGAGCTCAATAATCATGAATTATTGCATTTGTATTCAAGCTTATGGTTTTGCTTAACGGCCAGTAGTAAAGAAGAAAAGTTTTGAAAATTGCATTTATTCTTATGGCTTATCCCTCAGGCCCCAAATGGGCAGAGACCATAAAATTCAAAATTTTGAAAGCCTTTGCCCATAAACGCTTTTAATCCAAATAGTTGAAAACTTAATCAAATGTCCGAGAGGAGAAGTACTGTTGCAGCAAATGTTCAAATGTCAGCAGACAATGCAAGAAGGATATGAAAACAGACAGCAACAAGTCACCTATAACATTTATTAAAGAAAAACTTACTTTAAATCTGAGTAGATATTCACAGACAGCATGACATATTCCAACACCTTCCTCTTGGCTTGTGCCTGTAATTTAATGAGAGAAAAAAAATTTAAAGTGTGTTTGAAAGCAATGCTGAATGTACAGTATTCATTATTGCTTTTAAGCACAGCTTACCCAAAAACTTCAAGATTTAATACAATATAATACAAACCACACATACCACATATTATTTCATAATTTCAATGTCAATCATTAAATATTGTTCTCCACAAACCTCTTCCTAGTTCATCCATAATTAAAAGTGATCTGTGACTGACATTTTGAATGATGTAGTTTACTTCTTTCATCTGTATATAAAGAAGAGTATATGTGAATAACGATTGGTTTTCAGATGTAAGGTTGCAATTTTTCTCAAACATATACTAATTACCAAAATTTGTAAAGAATGCTTATTGGTGTTTATGAAAAGAAGCTGATAGTATTCAAAAGTTTACAACAGTCAAATAATGGATGAAAACAGCATAGGTCACCTGAATGATATAAAAGTGACTATTCTTAACTTTGCAGGAATTTTAGAGGTCCCAGAAGGATAGGGATCATGAAATTGTTAAAATTTATTCTTAACATACAAAACTATTCTAAATAAATGGAAAATACTACATCTGATCCCATGTTGCTTATGCAGAGATTTATCACAATTCATGTGCACAAATATGTATATGCATATACAATGTAAAGAGGATGTGACAGGAAACAAACTAGCTCAAAATTCCATTTGGGAGCATACAAAGCGTATTGCATTTCAGACAAATTGGTTGAACAATTTGAAAGATGTGATCTGAAATAGTGATGGTCATGGCATGTAATTATGGATATATAACACAGAGAATAGAGGAAAATGCCCATTCAGATCTGATTATTTATGGCAAATTTATATTTTTTTACCTCCAACATAAAAGTAGATGAGTTGGACTCGATATCATCATCACTGCCGATCCTGGAGAAGATCTGATCTGTGATTCTGAATGAGGCGTACTCTGCGGGAACAAAACATCCTATCTGGGCCATGATTTGTAACAACACAATCTGTCTCAGGTAGGTGCTTTTACCACTCTATAAGGAAATTTAATTATTTCCATCAACATTTCAATTATAATAATACAAGAAACAATGTTTTAAGTACATGTACATATAATTGTATAAAACATCTACTGAAAGAATCAAGGGCATTAAGACCCTAAATATGCCCCAACCATGATGGACAAAATATTATAAATATTAAAAGAATTATGATTGAATCACACCTTTTCAGACACATTTTGATGAAAAAAACACTATTAAGACATTTTGGGGTCAATACAAAAATAACACTATTTTCACTGATTTCTGGAAATTCTTAATAATATTTTTTCCCTGTAAATATGATTAAAGAAATAAAAGATGGATGTTTAATACAAATACAACAGAAATGATCTTATACATGTGAATAGAAACTATTTTTTTTAGCTAAAAGTGTGAAATAACAGATTTGAATGTAAAACAGTTGTTTTTGTGCCCAGTTTTCGCGAAAGCGGGGGTACATTAAATCTTATTCATCTGTCTGTCAGTCTGTAAGTCTGTCAGTCACAAAGACTTTAACCTTGCCCATAACTTTTGATTTAGTGGAGTTATGACTTTCATATTACACGTGTGTATTCCTTTTTACAAGACCTTTCTTTGGGTACCACCAAATTTGACCTTTTGACCTTGACCTTTGAGTTTAACCCACTTTTACACAAAAATTCCAAACTTTACTTTGGCCATAACTTTTGAATAGTAGGTACTAGGACTTTCATATTTTACATATGTATTCTTTGTGGCAAGACCTTTCAATGGATACCAACAACCTTGACCTTTTGACCTTAACCATGGAGTTTCACGTACTTATGAAAAAACTTTAACCTTGATCATTACTTTTGAACGGTGAGGACTAAGGCTTTCGTACTTCACATATGTAATCCTTGTAAAAAGACCTTCCATTGGATACCAACAACTTTTACCCCTTGACCTTGGAGTTTTAACTACTTTTTAAACTTTAACCTTGGTCACAACTTTTAAACAGTAGATACTAGGAATTTATTTTTCACACATGTATTCTTTGAGTCAAGACATTTCATTGGATACCAACAACCTTTACCTTTTGACCTTGACCTTTGAGATTTACATACTTATGAATAAACTTTAACCTTGACCATAGCTTTTGAAATGTGAGAGCTAGGGCTTTCTACTTCAAATATGTAATCCTTTGAGAAGACCTTTCATTGGATACTAACAACTTTCACCCTTTGACCTTGACATTGGAGTTTTCACTACTTTTAAAAAACTTTAACTTTGGTCACAACTCTTGAACGGTAGATAATAAGACTTTCATATTTCACATATATATTCTTTGTGGCAGGAGCTTTAATTGGATATCAACAACTTTGACCTTGACCTTAAAGATTTACGTACTTATGAATAAACTTTAACCTTGACCATAACTTTTGAACGGTAATGGCTAGGACTTTCATACTTCACATACGTAATCCTTGTGAGAAGACCTTTCATTGGATATCAACAACTTTGACCCTTTGATCTTGACCTTGGAGTTGACCTACTTTTAAAACTTTCACTTTGGCCATAAGTTTTTAACGTCAGGATTAGGGTTTTCATCCTTCAAAAAAATCAATTTCAATAATAATTACTAAATAAATTACATATGATATGGTGTTCATATTAGACACAATATGTCAGAAAAAATAACATCTCACTCACAAAGACACCGAAAGCGGGGCACCACAATTCTTTGAATTTGCTTGTATGTATTTAACATAAAAATACATTGAATGCACAAAGTGAACAAACAAGAAATGTATTCAACTAACATTTTTAATAACAATTCATTAAACTTGACAAAAATAACAATAAGGGATTTCAGTTTGCATAAACAAATTCCAGAACTACCATCACCCACCTATACTTTTACCAAAAAGATCATAGAAGTTTAACATCACACCACTCATGCCTTATACACTACATTTACTCATAATAAGATAATGTTTATCATCCTCACAATGTCATAAAAATGAACTATGCATCAAAGAATTAGTTATGCTAGTACATGTTTGTCTGGAAAGGTTTTGTAATTACATTGTATTACAAAAAATAACAAGTACGTGTATATAGTCATGTTAATTATTAACAAAGTTCAATATATACACAGCCTTCCACTACATTGTTGAAAACAACAATGGGAGCCTAATGCAGTGGATATCATAACTTGCAGATTGATTGATTGATTGTATATTGTTTAACATCCCTCTCGAGAATTTTCACACATATGGAGACGCCTATAATCTGCAGAATGTTCACTCTCAATAATGTTCACTCTCAATAAACCAATGTCGCAATTCATGTCACTCTTTCGTTGCACCCATTTCACTTTCTGATGAGCCATCCATTACTGCAGGAAGCATAGCTGCATCAAGGTAGTCTGTCCAGTCTTGAGTAGGTCTTACTGCAAAGTTTGTGTGTCTTTCATAGCCAAGAAACCACAATATTGAGGTCACATGGGCACGGCACTGACAATACCAACAAGTAACAGCTCCAGTAACAGGATATTGTTTTGGACCATCTCCAGGCATCCTACAATTAAAATATGAATATCAAATTAAATTACTATATATGTTATGTATGCACATTTTGTCTATAACTATGGAAGGAGGGGGGGGCTACTTGTACTGTGTATATACATTTGCATAAGATTTTCTTTATATATGAAAAAAGGGAATCATTTATTAATATTACCAGGTATAATATATAATTATTTCATTCAAGAAATCAATTTAAATAGCAGTTTTATTGATTTACCTATTTGAGTTTAATGAATAAAATCTGAGGCAAAGACATTATTGTGTACTTTAAATTAAAACAAAAAAGATGAACCTTGTAATGACAAACATTTTTTTTTCATTTAAATGGTGACTTAAATGAATTTGAAATATTCCTTGGTAATCTAATTATTTTTTTTAATACTTACAAAAGTTTAATTTTACGTTAATAATATTTTAATTAATTGGTTAAAAAAAACAACAAAAAATACATTGTTCCCACAAGAAAAAAAGAAAGAATTTTATTTATAATTATTATTTATTCTGCAAAGAACATTAATTAGATTTAGTGATATTAGCTTATTTTTAAGAAACTAACTCTTTTTCCATTTCTTTAACGGTTTTACAACAACCAGAGACATATAAAACCATGGTTTTGTATTTACAATGGTTTTATATGTCTCTGCAACAAAAAACAAAAAAAAAAAACTCTTACAATTTTTTTTTTATTTTTGACTGTTATAGCACACCATACATTTACACAAAGTACACAGGTACCAGGGTAAGGTCGCTTGAATACACAAACGCTAGACTTTGTTGTATTTGTACTCAGACAGAAAAATATGTAATAAACACTTCGGGCCTAAATCAAAGAGAATCGATGAATAAGTCAACTTTTTATAATTTAGTTTTTATTTGAAAGAAGATAGCATGTTGTGTTCCTGTTTAATATATTTTAAATACATATTTTCTATTTTCAACTGTTTGACATGCATTGATTACCGTCCCCCCGAGTTCATGGAGTTCGCGGGGTCTGTCATGTCGAATCTTTTATCATTAATAAGTTTAGGAGGGGATTTAATTTTGAACAGTGCATGTAAGTAGTGGATGTAAAATTACAATTGCTCTGACTTTCAATTCATCCCTACCTGTTAAATGGTTAGAACTTCGATGAATCTACTGTCACATTTTCTGTTTCCTCCAACTTTGTTTACGTCTGAATATAAAAACCGAAACCGGAAGCGATCAAAATCGGCCTCAAAAACATAGTTTTTTATATTTTTCAGGGTGGCCGCATGCGAACAACAGAATGATATTTTGGGAAATAATTTATTATGTCATTTTAAACAATCTATCAAATTTTTACTCTGTTGTTTTCATGCGGCCATATCTAAATCTTCTTTGGAATGTGAGAATTTGATGGAAATTTTTCAATTCCGGAAAAATCACACAACTTCACATCGTGATAACTCAACTACGAATCAAATGTTGAAAATTTTATTGCTATTTACATCAAACTGGACATCTCGTTATATGAAAAATAAACCAACTTAACGATAGCACTGGTATAAAATTTTCTTTAAAATATTGGGCAGCTCATATATGCTTACTGCCCCTGATTCTTTGCCTATATTCATGAATTACTTTAAAATAAGTACAGTAAATCGTCTCACCATGTTTGCACCAGTGATGATATTGAAATTGCTGTCTTCAGTAGCATACTGAAAATAAATTTACATCATAATCCGTACTTTCAGAACTTTCTGTCAAACTGATAATTTTTCAAGTTAAATACCTTGAATATGTCTTAAACTAACTAAAACACCCATAAAAGACATATCTTTGCAGATTAATTTTCATACAACATGTCTCAGCGCACATACCTCTAAAAACTCAACAACTAAAATTAAACATAAACAAGAGGCCCAGGGGCCACAGCGCTCACCTGAGCACATTGGGCTTGAATTTACCCCCCCCCCCCAGGCATTCATCATTTGAACAAACTAGAATCTACACTACCTGAGGATGATTCCATATAAATAACACTAATCATAGTTTTGAAGTACTTGAAAAGAAGATTTTAAAAGGTTTCCCTATATATCTTTATGTAAAACTTGGGTGGGCCATTTTGGCCCCACCCTAGCCCCAGAGGTCATGTTTTGAACAAACTTGAATCTACACTACCTGATGATGATTCCACATGAGTTTCATCTTTCCTGGCCCAGTGGTTCTGGAGAAGAAGATTTTTCAAGATTTTTTCCTATATATTCCTATGTAAAACTTGGGTCGGCCATTTTGGCCCCACCCTAGCCCCAGGGGTCATCATTTGAACAAACTTGAATCTACACTACCTGAGGATGATTCCACATGAGTTTCATCTTTCCTGGCCCAGTGGTTCTTGAGAAGAAGATTTTTAAAGATTTTTCCTATATATTCCTATAATGTAAAACTTGGGTCGGCCATTTTGGCCCCACCTTGCCCCGGGGGTCATCATTTGAACAAACTTGAATCTACATTACCTGAGGATGATTCCACATGATTTTCGTCTTTCCTGGCCCAGTGGTTCTGGAGAAGAAGATTTTTAAAGATTTTTCCTATATATTCCTATGTAAAACTCTGGTCAGCCATTTTGGCCCCACCCTTGCCCCGGGGTTATCATTTGAACAAATTTGAATCTACACTACCTGACGATGATTCCACATGAGTTTCATCTTTGCTGGCCCAGTGGTTCTGGAGAAGAAGATTTTTCAAGATTTTTCCTATATATTCCTATGTAAAACTTGGATCGGCCATTTTGGCCCCACCCTTGCCCCAGGGGTCATGATTTGAACAAACTTGAATCTACACTACCTGAGGATAATTCCACTTGAGTTTCACCTTTCCTGTTCCAGTGGTTCTTGAGAAGAAGATGTTTAAAGATTTTTCCTATATATTCCTATGTAAAACTTGGGTCGGCCATTTTGGCCCCACCCTTGCCCCGGGGATCAAGATTTGAACAAACTTGAATCTACACTACCTGAGGATGATTCCACATGAGTTTCACCTTTCCTGGCCCAGTGGTTCTGAAGAAGAAGATTTTTAAAGATTTTTCCTATATATTCCTATGTAAAACTTGGGTCGGCCATTTTGGCCCCACCCTTGCCCCGGGGGTTATGATTTGAACAAACTTGAATCTACACTACCTGAGGATGATTCCACATAAGTTTCACCTTTCCTGGCCCAGTGATTCTTGAAAAGAAGATTATTTAAAATGCCATTAATTTTTCTCTAATTCATAATTATCTCCCCTTGGAAAAGGGCGTGGCCCTTCATTTGAACAAACTTGATTCCCCTTCACCCAAGGATACTTTGCGCCAAGTTTGGTTAAAATTGGCCCAGTGGTTCTTGAGAAGAAGATGAAAATGTGAAAAGTTTACGACGACAACGACAGATGACAACGACTACGACAACGACAGACAACGGACAAATTTTGATCAGAAAAGCTCACTTGAGCCTTCGGCTCAGGTGAGCTAAAAAGTGTGATATCATATTTCTCTTAGTTGTGCACCAAATCACATCAAATTTATGTTAAAACTTATGAAGATCAAAAATATTCATTTGCCAAGAGAATACTTGAAATCTTTGCTGCAAAACATTAACAAATTGATGTTGAATCTGTCCATGTCTTTCAGAAAAAATCTCAAAATATCTTTATTTTTTATAATTCTCAAAATCCAAACTGTTTAGATGCCATTTTTTCTTTAAAACTATTAAGAATTATATCTTATGTTAATAACAAAACACCTACTTTATTATGGTTGACCACAGAATTTTAACAAAACAGTCTTTTGAAGACGTACACCCCCATTTTTGGAATATCATTTTTTTTCAATTACCAGGTATTCATTGCAAAATTTTTAAAAAGTAAAAATTAAATGGATGGTATAGGCTCTAAATCAATAAAAATAGATCTCAGGTTAGTTTGCTTAAAAGAAAATTAAAAAGATTTAGGTCCATAAAAGCAATTAAGAATTTTGTGTCTGTGTATGTACTAAATGACATATAGATCTTATGGACAGAGTGCAAAGTGTTAATTTCCTTAAATAATGTATATTAAATGCTTCGTATGCACAATAACACTATAATAAACAAATATATACTTGATTTAAAGTCATTTTCAATCACCCAAAAAGATTTTATATCAACAGACAAGTGAAAATCAAGATTTTTATATTGATGTGTAAAATTAGAACCGGATACGTAAAAGTGTGGGCCTTCCTTAAACAAGTATTTACTTTTTTTATGTGAAAAACGGACCTCCTTACAGTATTGTTAGGGATTGGCATATCAGTGCTGATTTTTTCAAGGATTGGGTGTCGTCCCTGCTTTATGGCAAGTGTATCTTTGGTAAAATCAGGCTTCACTGAAATCACAAAGTATTCATTAAGCTGTTAACGTTAGTATTTTGACAGGAAATAAACAATTCTTGACAATTACATTTATAAGAAAGTGTTTTCCGAATTATTTCAGTACCATAATTGGACAAAGTACAGGCATGAGCAAAGCTCTGTAACATGTCTATCATAGCCACGGCCTCTGACAGTTTGTACAGACAGCCAAAGTGGTTCCTCAGGTCTCCTAAAAGCTCCGTCACTACTCTGTAAAATAAAAGAAAAAATGTCAGAAAATCAAAGTATTTCTATACTTGATTTCTGTGCTTTCAGTATTTTATGAACTGTGAACCAGCTTTAATCATATGTGAGAAATTTCAAGTTAGTTTTGATTGCAACCTTGCTTTACTTGCAAATATTTCTTAATGCAAACTAATAATTTCAATATGTATTAATGTAAGATATTCCCTTGGTCACGAAAATAGTTATTGCAGACAAAATCTTTCAGATAAATTAAAGTAAATGTGTATAAGAGTTTGTCATAACTTACATGTTGGTCACTAGGTATATTTCATCCAAAGCCTCTTTTGCCCTGTCTGATCAAAGTATTGTTCACTTAATTACATGTATGTAAATTAAATAAATTTAATCATTGGGCATTTTCTCTTGACAATATGTTTGAAGCATTTAAGGACAGAAGGAAACTACCGTACCTCTTATTAACAAAAGAAAACGAATGGTATAATCTATAATATCTGGAATGCCTATATTGCAAATATCATGAACATGTTGAACTGAGTTGGATATTCCAACTTTTCTTTATCATGCACTTTGACTTTGGTGTCTTGAATTTCGAGATAACAAGGTTGGACTGTAAAAAAACAACCTGAATTACAGAAGCCACAGTAAATATAACACATGCATCTAATAAAACTGTAAAATTCATCTTAAACAATCTTACTATTCAAGCGAATCTGAAATACAAGATAATACTTAAAAATCAGATATACTACCAAGCATAGCAAATCTATCTAATGCCAATTACAAATTACAGATAAACAAATAATAATATATTTCTAACTTTTGCACACAATAAAACTTATAAAATAATTCTTGTAATTCCAACGAAGATTATTTTAAATCTTACATCCTCACTTATTTTCCTGTCATAAACTTAAGTTCCTGATTATCTAGAACATTCACATAAATAAATTTAAATCAATTTTAGCCATGAATATAGTAAATATATCAATAAAATTACCAGTTCTGTGGTGGTAAAACACAGTGTGTTCTTGGCTTTTGTAACTTTGATAAATATCTCAGGCAGACTCTCTTTGCTGAAGTTTTGTTTTGGACCACAATTAAGTTGCAGAAAAAAGCCTCTAGTGGAATTATACGAAGTCACTATTGGTAAATTGTATTCTTCTGCCCACTGGTTAGCCAATGCTGCAATAAAACAAGAGATCTATGGACCACTGTGATAAAAATCATTTTATATTCAAGACATTTTTTCTCTCATTGTTTGGTATATTAAATCTGTACTTATATAAACTTACTGTTTATGTCTTCTATAATACCGCCATATGTTCCTCTTCCAATATCAAGCAAGCCTATAACAAACTTAAAAATACAACAGGCCAATAGGAGTTAAAATGGGAATGAGTTAAGGATAGAGTTGTTGTTCTCAATCCCTCACTAGACAACTTAAAAAATATGCTTTGAAATAGCAAATTCTTATCATTTCATTTAATATTTTTATCACAAAAGAGCTTCCATATATTGCCTTGGTGAAAAAAAACCCAGTTGATTGTAAAAGTCAGCGCTTCTCACAAAAGTCAAATAACTACACTGCCCCATTCCCAAAGAAAAGGAATTCTAAAGATTGCATTAATTTTGATGGCTTTTGACCTCATTCCTCAGGCCCAATTGAGAAAGAGAACATGAATTAAAGTCTTATCCCCTTACCGATATAGTGAAAATAAAAAAATTATATTTTTGATGAAGTCAATTCAATTTAACTTGACTTTTTTAGTTTTTATAAATATCACTTAAAAACAAAATAAGTACATGTTTAACATCCCTTACCATTAATGCTTCCCTGAAAAACAAAACATAACAAAATTTTTATGTTTCAAGTTCCTAAAATTCTTCAAAGTATCAGGCAAACATAGTATTAATCAATAAGATATGATGAAAACTCACCTTCACTGCAAAACACTTTTGAGTGCGCATGTGCAGCATTCCTTTCTGATACTTGGTATCGTCATGAATTATGCTAGCTATTCTGGCTTTCATCAGTGCATATCTACCATCTTCTAGTGACTGAAAGTTATCCAGACTCCAGTAAATTAAATTACTTAAATTGATTTATAGCTTTTATGGAAGAAAAACAAAAAAAGACATTTTTTAGTGTATTTTCAATTGCACTGCATTGACAATCAAAGAAATTCATCCATCCAGAAACATCTTGTAAAAGTTATTCATCAGGTGGTTTTACAAAATGAAATACATTGTACCTTGTAAAAGTGTTTATCAGGTGGTTTTACAATATGCAATATGCAGTAAAAGTGTTTCATCACATAATTTTACAATATCAAATACATGTATCTTGTAAAAGTGTTTCATCAGTTGGTATTACAAGATTAAATACCTTGTAAAAGTAAGCGTTTTATCAATGGTTTTACAAGATGCAATATCTTGTACAAGAGGCCCATGGGCCACATCGCTCACCTGAGCACTCTGGCTGGGAAAAAGCAGAAATTGGTTTATTATTGAATAGTTTATATTCAAAAGTAGTCCCATGACCAATCATGGCTTTGCTATTCTTCATAAGATGATTTTTAAAGAATTTTCCTATATATTTCTTTGTAAAACTTTGATTAGCCTTTGTGGCCCCGCCATACCCCCCGGGATCATGATTTGAACAAATTTGAATCTACACTACCTGAGGATGCTTCCATATAAATATGATCAATTATGGCTTTGAGAAGAAGATTTTTAAAGAATTTTCCTATATATTTCTATGTAAAACTTAGGGTGGCCATTGTGGCCTCGCCCTACCCCCGGGGGTCATGATTTGAACAAACTTGAATGAACACTACCTGAGGATGCTTCCATACAAATATGATCAATTATGGCTTTGTCATTCTTGAGAAGATTTATCTTGTAAAAGTGTTTATCCAGTGGTTTTACAGGATGAAGTACATGTACCTTGTAAAAGTGTTTCATTAAGTGGTTTTACAAGATGAAATATCTTGTAAATGTAAAGTTAAACATGGTGGTTTTACAAAATGATATACCTATTAAAAGTGTTTATCAGGTGTTTTTACAAGATGAAATACCTTGTAAAAGTGTTTCATCAGGCGGTTTTCACAGTTGGAGAGTGCATTCCTGAGTGGGTCTACCAGTTCCAGGATGTGTTTGAGGAGAATAAGGTTGTTGATGTTGGCCTCTGCTGTTTTCAGTGTCTCCTTCTTTGGGATCTGTACACACACTGACAGGATGTGGTCAACATCCAGGAATCGAGCAATCACTGTCTGAATGCTATCAAACACATCCTCCTTCTCTGAATCACATCAAAGAAGCATCATTTAACATCTATAATCTTCAATAAGCAACAGAACTACTTACATCCATTCCATTCAAATTTACCTTTCTTTCTAGAAAAATATTTTAAATAGAATATACCTTTCAAATTTACAAAGTTTGAATATTCTGAAAATCAGCAAGTCTCTTGAAAATTAAACTTCTGAATATACTGTAAAACGAGAATATTTGGCGCACTACTAATTTTAGCGCCTTTGGCGCAAGAGCCCCTGAGCGCTAAAATTTATTGTGCGCTAAAGGATTTCTAAATATCATTTTTTGTGTGTGTTCAAAGCTTTTACATAAGTACATGTAAACCTAAACGTGCGATTACGTACATGTAATGTCGAAGGGTCATTGGATTTTATATACACACAAGTACTGCACATGTTCGGAAGACAGAAAGTTCTGCCAAATTATAATTTAATTAAACTATTGTTACCCCGGTAGCTGTTACCCGATTATTATCATTAGCACCTTCAAAGTTGGGCTTCTCAGCGTGTCAATCATCAATCGCCTCGAGGTAAACAATGCAATCACGCATGGCGATTGAGCTTGCAGACAATACCTGATTAGGATTACCGTTTTATCTAAGTAATTTTCTGTCGATGCATGCATTGTTTTAATGTGATTTAAATGAGCAAATACTCCATTTCTCTTAATTGAAAATAGAAATAAAATAATAAATTTTAACATTGTACAACGTCCACGTGTTAGCAACACGTACCGCCGTAAAGGTAACGAATGTTTACTGATATACGGGGGTACTAAATGTTTTTCCGTGCTTGACTAACTAAAAAGGCAAACAAGGGTATGGATAAAAAAAAACAAAATATCACATTTATATATTTTACTGACAAGTGCAAGCGCTAAAATTTATTTGCGCCAATGCATTCCCACTTGCGTTTGCGCTAAAATACGTTTGCACCAATTTTTCTCATTTTACAGTATATAATGTATTGGCATCAAAGCTTAAATTTTTTCATACTATATTGCATACTGGGTTAAAAACTAGGAACTTTGAAGAACCTGTGAGTTCTGAGACTGCTTCTTGTCTCATGGCTATGGTTCCCTTGTCACAGGAAGGCTGTAAAATATTGGCTCTCAGTAAACGGGCTCCCCCAATTGTCTTGGTGTAGTTCAACACTCCGTATAATGTATGCTCACTCTTAGGGTCCCTCACGTTCTGTAAAAGTTCAAGGTTCACAGCAGTGGTGGCATCTGTAATCAAACATCATAGAGAAAAAGTCTACCAGCATTACATGTAAGAAATGGTGTACACAACAAGAAAACACAATTACGAAATTTTTTTAGAATAGCGACATTTGTTTAAATTACAATTAGAAGCATCATAGAGTGTTCCCTGAGGAAAGTATGTGTTAATTGTTTGTTATAGGACATTGAAGACATAAAAAAAGTTTTAGCATTTGCTTTTAAAAGTACTAGTACATATATTATCATGTAGACATTTGCCTGCAAAGAAAATGAGATGCGTTTAGGAAACACTGATGCATCTTATGGCAGCAACTTATGGACAAGTTAGATATATATGTCCAAAAATCATACTCACTATGTAATGCTTATATATTTTTTTCCAAAATGTTTTATGAAAAAAACAGTACATGATGCTTTATATCAGACTTAGTTACCACTCAGTGGACAAAGAAGGTGCAGTATATTGGCCCTGTGATTTATTTTGAAAAGAAGGTCAAGGGTCAAGTTCATAGATCATGAGGTCACTTTATATTGTGCCAAGTATATTATGAGCAAAGATTCAAATGATTTGTTTCATGCTTGAATTTGCTGTCTCTACCATATTGTGTATTGTACTGAAAAAATGTTCTGTCTAAATATTTCAATGGAAACATGAAATATGGAAAAATCAACCTGTCTAATCCAGTCTGTAAATTAAGCTGAGGCCAATATGCCTAATGATTGTAGACTTTTTAAGGGTCCTCCACAACATGTGACTTGTGACGTATATAGAGAAAAAAATAATTTTACTTCCGGTTTTATTTAGATTTTCCATCAGCGAATTGCCTGGAAACCGCTTGTAAGAGAGTCTTCGAAAGAGAAAGTATGTAGCACACTCAAAACAATGAAAACATGGCATGGTCACGGAATGACCGATAGAAAAAGATGTCTGTTTTTTCTATAAAAGACAGACAAATGACTGGGTTTTCATAACATAATAATTCTTCAACAACCAAGTGCCGGTATGACGGGAACTGTTAGGTTATTTATACTTTCAGGCTAATCAACCCACTGACATGATTATCATCAACAGAGTCTGTGTTGAAAATTGATATTTTTGCACACTAATTAGTGCGTTTCAATAATACGTCATCTCATTGTGTTTATGAATATTAATAAAATAGTGTGCGTTTCTAGTTTTCCTCTTTTACATATATTTCTGACTAGTTCAGTACCCAATAATGAGTAACTATTGCAGAGACTTGCCAAAGTTTTAAAGTCTCGGGCAACAGGAAAGATAACTCTAAAAAGGAACTTTGAAACCAATGATTTTGAAAATATTTTTCCTACATTACTGCATTTAATTTTAATTCAATTTTTTGGTGTAACGGTAATCTAATTCATTGATGTTTCTTCTATACAAAATGAGTCTTCCTTGTTTTTTCTCTAGATGTATTTGAGAGAAAATGAGTTTTATTTATTTTTTATAAATTGAATTAATTTCTCTAAAAAATATATTGATCGCTAACATTAAATTTTTATGGTTATTCTGTGAGCATAAAAAATACGATAGGGTAAGACAAAATTTTTGGTGCTACGTATGAAAACGCCTCGGGAAAAATATTTTGAAACTTGTGAAATTATTATTTTAACAAGAGGCCCAAGGGCCTTGAATCGCTCTTCTGATAAATTGTACAATCTATCACTTCTATTAAAAGCCTCCAACTCTATTAGAATCAAAAGACCCAAAATGCATCAACTTACAAAGTTTGATAATATTTAGCCTGTTAAGACTGAAGATATTATAATATAATTATAAAATACCATAAGTAGGTCACAGTGACCTACCTTTTGATTGAAATTTTCTGAGGAATCAAGATACATTAATTGACAAAGACAGATGATTCTAATTAAATAAGTACCTGAGATATTCAAAAATAGGTCACCAGGACCTACTTTTTGGTCAACATTCTTTGAAAACCCAAGAAGCATCTTCTGACAAAGTCTGACGATTCTGAGCCAATTAGTACCAGAGATAATTAAATGTATGAGATATTCAAAATTAGGTCACCATGACCTACTTCTTGTTGGACATTAAATGAAACCCTAAGATGCCTCAACTGACAAAGTTTGATAATTCCGAGCCAATAAGTACCAGATATAATTAAATATAGCCATAAAATGTCAAAAGTAGGTCACGGTGACCTACTTTTTGGTCGACGTTCTCCGAAAACCCAAGGTGCCTCAACTGACAAAGTTTGATGATTCTAAGCTTATACGTACCTGAGATATTCAAAAGAAGGTCACTGTGACCTATTTTTTGGTCGACATTCTCCGAAAACCCAAGATGCCTCAACTGACAAAGTTTGATGATTCTTAGCAAATAAGTGCCTGAGATACATAAATAAAGCCATGAAATGTCAAAAGAAGGTCACTGTGACCTACTTTTTAGTCGACGTTCTCCGAAAACCCAAGATGCCTCAACTGACAAAGTTTGATGATTTTAGGTCAATAAGTACCGGAGATACTTAATTATTGTCATAAAATGTCAAAAGTAGGTCACCATGACCTACTTTTTGGTCGTCACTCTCCGAAAACCCAAGATGCATCAACTCACAAAGTTTGATGATTCTAAGCCAATAAGTACCGGAGATACTTAAATAAAGCCATAAAATGTCAAAAGTAGGTCACTGTGACCTACTTTTAGGTCGTCACTCTCTGAAAACCAAATATGCATGGACTCACAAAGTTTGATGATTCTAAGCCAATAAATACCTACAGTACTTAAATATAGCCATAAAATGTCGAAAGTAGGTCATCGTGACCTACATTTTGGTCGACATTTTTCAAAGACCCAAGATGCATCTACTGACCAAGTTTGATGATCGTAGGTCTGAAGGTAATCAAAATATGCGTTTTAAACAATTTGAAAACAAATGTCCGCAAAATTCAAAAAGTAGGTCACAGTGACGTACTTTTTTATAAATATGTTTTAAGGTCCCAAGATGCATCAAAGTACAAGATTTGATGATTCTATACCTCCCAGTGTCTGAAATAATGGGATTTAATGTTTTTAAAAGGATAAGTCATAAAGTTCAAAAAGTAGATCACGGTGACCTACTTTTAAGTTGACATTGTTCGAGGACCCAAGATGCATCAACTGACAAAGTTTGATGATCATAGGTCTTAAAGTGTCCAAAATATTATGCCTTTAAATCAATTTGAAAACAAATTCCCGCAAAATTTAAAAAGTAGGTCACCGTGACCTACTTTTGAGTTAACATGATGTGAAGTCGTAAGATGCATCAACTTACAAGAATTGATGATCCTAATCCTTATAGTAAGCAAAATATACACGTTTTTATTAATTGTAAATTTAGGTTAACTTTGAAGTGACCTTGAGACCACGCCCTTTGCCCCAGGGTAATTCCCCGTGCAAATTTTAATCTTCGACATATCCTGATCCTTGTCTGTAAGTTTGGTGAAAATCTGCCTGGTGGTTTTGGAGAAGAAGATTTTTTAGCAACCAGTACTTTTGGTTTTGTTTTCCTGATTATCTCCCCTTGTTTAAGGGTCCCAACCCTTATTTTAGTATAAATGGTAGCCCTTGGGCCAAGGATACCCCGTGACAAATTTGGTACTGATTGGCCAAGGGGTTCTTGAGTTATGGCCCATATTCTAAAAAGTTTACGCACATCGCACAAATGGCCATAGCATTAGCTCTTTGAGCCTTTGGCTCAGAAGAGCTAAAAATTTTGTATAAATTACATTTTAATCCCTGGTCAGTTTTTAAAGGTTGATATGCTTGTTAAAAGTAATGCTCAATAATATGAGAACAGAAGCTGTCTGTGTGTGGAGGACCCTTAACTAATCAATGTCCAGTTCATTAAATTGTACTGCATGATCAAAATACCCTATCAAGAACTGCTCCTTATTTGAATAAAAATCTTCATTATTGGCTGTTTAAAAAACTTTCTTGGTGTACAATTACCTATCATGGTTGTATTTTCTGAAAAAATTATATTGTTGGATATACATGAAATGTACAAAGATACGAAAATTAGCGACATCAATCAACCAAACTTGTAAGAGATTTATTAGGACCCGACACTCCAAACCACACTTTAAGTAGATATGTTTTTTGCATAGAGCAGATTAATATCTGATTTGAATTATGCAAGTAGTTGTAGAGTGTTTCGGCTATTAAGAAGCCTCATCAGGGGTCACGGACATAAATCATGGTGTTTGTTTTAGGTGAGACCGGATTATCTCGTCACCTATATTCTTGTGTTTGCTGTAAGCAATGATTGGTTGAGAATTAAATAAAGTTTTGCATTCTGGATTTCTAAGAATGGTGTTCCAATATTTTAGAATTCGTTTTTTCAGTCCTTTAACGCAAGGGTTAAATTTAGTAACCAGTACTGTAGGGTTACGTAATGACTGTTCTTTAGTCTTTTTGATGATGAGTTTTGATCGGTTTGTGTTGACCGTTTCCTTGATAATAGGATCAATTTCCGAAGTAGAGTAGCCTCGCTTTGATAAGTGCGTCTTGAAGTCATTAAGTGTTGCATGTAATATTTCAGGGTCAGTGGTGTTTCTTGCATGTCTAATGCATTCTCCTTTAATGAATCCTTTAAACACAGCTGGGCTATGAGCGCTCTGTCTGTGTAGATACTGAAAGTTATTTGTTGGTTTGATAAACGACTTGATATCAAGTTTGTTAAAATTTTGAAATTTCTGTCCTTTATAAACTGTAGTATCAAGGAAGTTGACAGCAGATGGAGAAATTTCAAATGTAAATCTTAGATGCTTGTGACAGTGATTGCCGATATTAAAGAATTCTTCTATCTCTGGTTGCGTTCCATTGAATATTATGAAACCGTCATCACGGTATCTGCCGTGGAAGACAATTTTGCTGGCATGACGAAATTGTGCCATTATATGCTTTGTGATTTGATACATTCTGATGTCACAGATCTCTGGACTGGGGACTGCCCCCATACTTGCTCCTATTATTTGTTTGTAAT